GTCCCCTGCATCGGCAGGCGGACTCTCAACCACTGCACCACCAGGGAAGCCCCAATGCATACTTTTAACTCATTATTTGGAAACAATTTCAGACTTACAGAGGGGACTTCCCTGGTGGTCCAGTGGTTAAGACTCCACACTTCCAATGCAGGGGGCGCGGGTTTGATCCCTGGTTGGGGAACTAAGATTCCCACATGCCTTGCGGTGCGGCCAAAAATAAGTAAATAAAATTTCAGACTTACAGAGAAGTTGCAAAAATTGAACAAAGAATTCCTAGATACTCTGCCTAGATTTGCCAGTTGTGTTTTGCCACATGAGCTTTACCATTCTTCTCTCTTCCTCTCTCCCCTGTGTGTGTGTGTACATGCATTTTTTGGGGGAACCATTTAAGTAAGTTGCAGACATCATGCCCCTTTACCACTACATATTTCTCAAATACAGTTTTTTAAAAAATATTTATTTATTTGGCTGCACCAGTCTTAGTTGTGGCACACGGGATCTTCGTTGTAGCATGCAGGATCTTTAGTTGCAGCATGCGGGATCCTAGTTGCGGCATGCGGAATCTAGTTCCCTGACCAGGGATCAAACCCGGGCCCCCTTCATTGGGAGCGTGGAATCTTAACCACTGGACCACCAGGGAAGTCCCTCAAATACACTTTTGAATCCCTTGAAACTCATCTGTGGACTCCTAGAGGTTCATGAGTCCTATACTCAGCTCTTCCCACTGTGACATTTCTCTCTCTCAGGAGGAGCCAGCACCATTGCCTGCCCTCCCAGGGTACCTCCCAGACCCATCTAGTGGTATGTACTACATTCTGTCCCTACTCATCCCAACCCCTGGGTTTGCTCCTGGGAAGGGCATAGGGAGTGGAGGATGGGAATCTCAACATCCGCTCCCTGCCCAGCAGAGTTCCAGAGCAGCACCCTAGAGCAGAGGAGCTGGGCAGCCTTCTCCGCCTCCCCATCCTCTCCTGGAACCCCCTCGTCTCCTGGAAACCCCTTTTCGCCTGGATCCCCTGCTTTCCCAAGTCCCATCTTCCCCATCACTTCTCCCCCATGTCACCCCAGCTCCTCCTCATTCTCTCCAATTTCTCCCCAGGTCTCCTCAAATCTCTCTCCACACCCCCCCAGCTCCCCACTTCCATTCTCCCCCAGTGCATCCCAGTTTCCAGTCCCATCTGCTCAGTTTCCACTGAATTCTCTCCTCCCCAGCTGTTCCCAGGTTACTCTTGCTCCTCCCTCCTTTCCGCCCTGTCCCTCTGCTTCTCCCGTCCCTTCCACCACAGCAGCCCCTCTCCTCTCTCTGGCTAGTGCGTTCTCACTGGCTGTGATGACTGTGGCTCAGTCCCTGCTGTCCCCCTGCCCTGGGCTCCTTTCCCAGCCCCCGACAGCTCCTCCTGGTCCCCTACCCAGCCTGCCCCCTCCAGCTCCCCTTGCTCCCTGTGGCCAGGAGAGGCCTTCACCTCTGACATCTGAGATGGAGAGTGAGGTGAGTAGGAACCAAGAGGGATGATTGTGGGGTGTGTGTGTGGGGTCCATTCTGGATCATTTCTCTACTCATGGATCCACACTTTTTAGGCCTCTCCAAATCTTGGTTGGCCACTCCTGGGTGAAGCCAGACTGGCTCCCATCTCTGAAGGTGAGGCCTCTGACCACTGACTTTACCCTGCCCGTTATCCTCAGTCACTTTTTTTTTTTAATAAATAAATTTATTTATTTGTTTATTTATTTATGGCTGCGTTGGGTCTTCGTTGCTGCGCACAGGCTTTTCTCTAGCTGCATCGAGCAGGGGCTACTCTTCGTTATGGCGCACGGGCTTATTGCGGTGGCTTCCCTTGTTGCGGAGCACGGGCTCTAGGCGTGCGGGCTTCAGTAGTTGTGGCACGCAGGCTCGGCAGTTGTGGCTCGTGGGCTCTAGAACGCAGGCTCAGTAGTTGTGGTGCACAGGCTCAGTTGCTCCGTGGCATGTGGGATCTTCCTGGACCAGGGCTTGAACCCATGTCCCCTGCATTGGCAGGCGGCGGATTCTTAACCACTGCACCACCAGGGAAGTCCCTCAGTCACTATATCCTGCCACTGATGTCTCTTCCTTCTTCCATGACTCCTTCCTTGTCTCACTACAGAGGGAAAGCCCCAGCTTGTTGGGCGCTTCCAAGTGACTTCATCCAAGGAACAAGCTGAGCCTCTTCCCCTGCAACCGACATCCCCTACTCTCTCTGGCTCCCTGAAGCCTCCAACCCCTCAGCTGACCTCGGAGAGCTCAGACACGGAGGATAGTGCTGGAGGCGGGCCAGAGGCCAGGGAGGCTCTGGCTGAAAGTGACCGTGCAGCCGAGGGCCTGGGGGCTGGAGCCGAAGAGGAAGGGGACGATGGGAAGGAACCCCGAGTGGGGGGCAGCCCTCCACCCCTGAGCCATCCCAGCCCAGTGTGGATGAACTACTCCTACAGCAGCCTGTGTCTGAGCAGTGAGGAGTCAGAGAGCAGTGGGGAGGATGAGGAATTCTGGGCTGAGCTGCGGAGTCTTCGGCAGAAGTGAGTCTGGGGAGGATGGAGGTCAACAGGTGGACTTGGGAGAGCAAAGTGTTTGGCTGGCCCTCTCACGCTCCTGATGTGTCCTCAGGCACTTGTCAGAGGTGGAGGCACTACAGACACTACAGAAACAGGAAATTGAGGACTTGTACAGTAGGCTCGGGAAGCAGCCCCCGCCGGGTATCGTGGCCCCTGCTGCTATGCTGTCTAGCCGCCAGCGCCGCCTCTCCAAGGGCAGCTTCCCCACCTCCCGGCGCAATAGCCTGCAGCGCTCTGAGCCCCTGGGCCCTGGTGAGACAGCAGTTGCCCCACTCCCATCTTTCTGAAGACCTGTCCCTAGTCATCTTTCTTTCAGGCCCTGGGGGTCTGCCCCTTAGTTTGGGGGGGACTAGCCCCCTCTCCCCATGGCCCCTTCCCTCACTCAGTGCTCTCCCTCCCCATCCTGCACCCAGGCATCAGGCGAAGGAACTCCCTGAGTGGCAGCAGCACCGGCTCCCAGGAGCAGCGGGCGAGCAAGGGGGTGACATTCGCCAGGGATGTTGGCAGGATGGTGAGGGCGGGCCCAAGGGAGGGAGAGCCCAGGGAATGATAACTGGCTGCAGCTTCACCCTCCTTCCACCCTGGAGGTTTCTTCAGTTCTTTTTCTTTTCCCTCCAGTGAATTCCGAACAGAAGCCATGTGTCTCATCCACACCAGGGCCCACCGTGGAGCTTGTGCTCTCAGAATCTGCTGACCAGCACAACTCTGCAAGGAAGACCTCAACACTGAGGGAGTAGGAGGCCCCAGGGGCATGGAGAGTGCCATTCCATTATAGGGAAGAGCCAAACATGTGGGAACTGTTTGCTGTGTGTAGAAGGCATAAATTCTGCAGCCTACCATCCTCATCCCTGCCACCTCTCCAGCCAAGAGTGAACCACTAAGCAGTCCCACCCGAGCCCGGATGCTTCTAGAAGGCACACTCCCAGCTGGGCAGGAGGAGGGGGTGTTCTCACACCAGAATCAGTAGCAGCCAATAAAAATGCTGGAACCTAGAACCTAGTGAATTTGTGTGCCAGGCCTTAGGAACTGGGGACAAAGCTTTACAGGGTAAGGCAGGGGAGGATTTACAAGGAATTCCCGTTTCACAACGGGAGGCAGGGGTGAAGCCCAGCCTTCTGGCTTCCTGCTAGCAGTTCATGAGGAAACTGCAAGGTCAGTAATCCACCTGACCAAGCTAAGAGTCCACCCAGACCCCACCTTAGGCCTACACAAGCAGGCCCCAGTGGAAGTTAAAAGAATGAAAGTTGCTTGTCCCTCATCCTTCATCTACCCCTCTCTCACGCACGCGCTCTCTCTCTCTCTCTCTCTCTCTCTCTCTCTCGATGGGAAAAGGCAGTAAAGTTGGAGTAGTGTGTTCCTCAGGGTAGAGGACAGAAGAGTGAGTGACCTTCCTTTCCCCCAAGACCTGGTTCAGTCTCAAACAGCCCAGTGACCCACCACGATCTCTCCCTTAAATCAGGTGGAAAGATCTCATGGAAAAAGCAATTCTAGTTAAACATTTACGGCTCCCTGGGGCCATGCCACAGCTGCAGCTACTGCCTGTGGAGCGTTCCAGCATGAAGTGTCAGCCCCAACACACTCATTGGACTCCGAGAGAGATGACTCAGTTTATTGTTCTCAACCTGACCCCATTTTTCCCACTTTAGGCTCCAACATAACACTGCACAGAGCTGCCACCCTCACCCCCATTAAGAGCCCACCTCTTGTCCTCCACCCTCCAAGCCAGACCCTGAAGGGGATAAACCACAAAGTCAGAAAGCCTGGGAAAAGCCAAGGTCAGATACCTCGAACAAGGAAACAAACTAGGAAAAGGAGTCAGTGGCCACACACAGTGAGTGCGAGGTGGGCATGTTCCCTTGACAATGGCCAAATGCACAAACCCGTGGTTACTTGGGCTCTATCATCGTCCAAAGTTAGTAAGAAGGAAAGCAATGTTGTGAGCAGGCTTCCATTTCTACAGGGTCGTGGGGCATCATCCATCATGTGAAGGGACTCCAGCAGGTTGGAGATGCAGGATGCCTGTCTGGATCAGTGTCCTGATGCCCTTTCCTGAGCTCGGGCTCGAGCAGCTTTGACCTCATCTTCCAGCTCATCCAGGAAACGCTCCTGGGACACCGAGTAGAAGGTGTAACCATCTGGGGAGGTGGGTTCAGGAAACCACGTGGAAAATGCACATTCCCTTTTCCCAGACTTGCTCAACCACCCTTGTTGATCTCTCATCCTCCCAAATCAGTGATTCGATCTTCTGCCCTCTGCTCTTCTGAGCCCTGACCCTGATTCCGTTATCATTAATAAATTATATTAAAAGAGCACCTTTAAAATTACAAAGTAAGGTACACTTAAACAGCTTGGCTCAGCGTTACAAGTAGCCAAGACTTTCACAGCTCGGGCTCTTTCTGCCACCCCCACACTGCCCTCTGCTGCCTTTCTCCTGCCCCCAAGTGCGGTCTCCCTGAGCCTACAGTCCAGACGGATACAAATTGCTAACACCAGGGCCCCAATGCCCAGGCCGGTCACTATGTTCCGGGTCCGCCGCTGTGGCAGCATCTTCTGCCACTGGGCGAGCTGCACCTGCCGCATGAATTGTAGTTGCGCAGGAGTCAGCTTCTCCCGCGTCGGGTCGATGCGCTGGGCCAGGGGGCCCTTTCCGCTCTTAGCATCCAGAGGGTCTTCAGCTCCCGGCGCCGCCATGTTACCGCTCCGCCCTCCGCAGTTCCCGGGGCGCGGGACTTGCTGGGAATAGCAGTCCATGGCCGCCGCAGGGAACGCTGGGAGATGTAGTCCGCATTTCCTTTCACAAAGAGTGCGGCTTCCGGCCCAAGGGAAAGGGCGGGGCAGGCGGGAAGAGGCCGTGCTTTCCAATTGGCTGAAGGGTCCGCGTCCGTTGGGGCTGGAAAAGGCTGTGAAGGCCTCGAGGCTGTGCTGGGAAATGAGTTTTTCTCAGACTTGAGGCCAGGAGGACAAGCACACGGAAGGGGACGAAGAATCCAGGGTGCGGCAGAAGACTCTGAAGGGAAGCTAAGGGGGACGGATCCAGTGAGACGTCCGGGGCAACAAACAAGGTTCTGAAAATGGACCGACCCGTGAGGCCAAGATTGGCCTCTCTCAGTGACTTTCAGTTTGGAGCTGTTGCCACAGAGACAATCGAAGACGCTCTGCTCCACTTGGCCCAGCAGAATGAGCAAGCCGTGCAGGAGGCTGCGGGCCGGATGGGCAGCTTCAGGGAGACCCGGATCGTGGGTGGGGATGCAGGCCGCGGAGCTGGGCTTATGGGAGACTGGGGCACCTCTCTTTGAGGCACCGACCTTGAGATTCAGTGTCCTGCCAGGCGCTGGGGGTACAGTGATGAGCAAGACTCACCAGCACCCTACCCTTGATTTCAACACGTATAGAGTACCTATTCTCCCTGCTTCCTGGGTTAGAAAGATGAACGAGAGATCTAGTCCCCGCTTTCAAACCATGTATATAATCTTTGGAGGATATTAGGACAAATCTGCAAATGACTAGGTACAAATATGGTTAGATAAGTGACATACCAGGTAAAACAAGCTTTTATGGGGATTGAAAGGAGAGATGGAGTGAGGTGGGGGTAGGATGAATTAAGGAGTCCTCCAGGCATCGTGGCATTTGAGGTAGACCCTGAAGGAAGGATAACATTTTGGCTGGTGAAGGTGGTTGATATGGACCGTCCTCCTCCCATCCTTCCTTCTTTCCTTCCTTTTTACCGTATCTCTTTCTCTTTTTTTTTGGCCTTGCCGGGCGGCTTGTGGGAGTTCCCCACCCAGGGATTGAACCCAGGCCTCCGCAGTGAAAGCGCCGAATCCTAACCACTAGACCACCAGGGAACTCCCGGGACCATGCTTCTACTAAAAGGGGATAACATGAGTCAAGCTATGGAAATAGGGACATTCTGGGTGAATGTGGGTACCATGTCATCCCGGTTGGCCAGAGCCTGTGGAAGAGTAGTTGAAATCCAGACCAGAAAGTGGTTTGGAGACGTTCCACGTGGAACTTTGAATGCCAAAGTGAGGAGTCTATACCTGACTTAATAGGAAAACAAGAAGGCACTGAGGGTTTTTGTTTTTGTCTTTTTTTTTTTTTTCATATGGGAGTGTTATAACTGTAACCTTTGCCTTAGAAAAAATTATTTTGGCTGTGATGTAAAGGATGGACTGGAGTAGAGAGAGATGGGAGGTAGGAAGACCAGTGGAGTCTTCGTGAGTAGTTTTTTAGGTGATAGGGCAGAGGGAATGACAAGGGAGGATGGATTAAAAACATTTCAGAGGTAAAATCTAGGGTTCTGCAATGGATGAATTTTAAGAAGTGAAGAAGGCGAAGATGACTATGCCCAAGGGTTGAGCCTAGAAATATAGTGGTGCCATTAAGAGAAACACACACATACATTAAAATAAATAAACCGGGAGGAAATGTGACTTGTTTGGGAAAGAAAATAGCTTTGGTTTGGGATCTACTGAGTTTCAAGTGCTTGTGGGACATCTAGAGGAAGGTTTCTAGCAGGTTGTTTAAAGAGTAAGTTAGAAGAGGGGTCAAACTAGAGATAAGGGTTTGGGAGTCCTCTCCATAATGATACTGTTGAAAGTGGCACAGGATGAGCTCCTAGAGGGAGAGAAGGGAAGTGGGCCTAGTACAGTTCCTTGGGAGACATTTTGTGTTCAGGAAAGTGGAGTAGGAGGAAGAGTCATGAAGGAAATAGATGGAATAGTTGGGGAGTTAGGAACAGAACCTAGAAATCTTTGGAAGCGAGAGGAGAGTTTTATGGTCAGCAATTTCAGGTACTTCACGGATATGAACACCAGGAATGACGATTGCAAGAGGGCCATGATATTTAACAATTTGGATGTATTTTCTGACCTTTGAGACAATCATTTCAGCAGGTTGTAAAAAGTAGAAGCTAAATTGCAGAACATTAGGGAGTGAATGATGAAGTGGAGGCAGCAGGTGTAAGCTAGGCTTTCAAGAAATTTCACAGTCATGGAAGCTAGAGAGATAGAGCCCTAGCTTAAGAGAATAGAAGGGGAGGGTCTTTTAGTTAATAGACCTGAGTATGTTTGTACGGAGGTGGAGCCAGTAGCAGGAGAGAGGTGTAACCCTCATCCATTCCACCTAACCCAAACTGTTTTCTTGGCAAATTAAAATGGAAAGTAGGAAAAATTGCCCAGATGATTCAGATCAAAAACAAAATAAAACCAAACAACTACACACACACACACACACACACACACACACACACGAAAACAAAGAAATAAAACCTAAGTTCCAGCAAATAAAAGGACTGGCTAATAACACACATTATGTGTTCTAGGATACTTTGCTTAATTGCTTAAACTAATTATCTTCTTCATTGGACACTGTTAGCAGAGCTTTGGCCTCTGTAATGATAAGGTTTTGTACATGTATCTATGTGTAACCTGTGTCAAGTAGATTGTTAAACTGTCTTGTGCTAGCTTAACTTTTACAGATTGTTTTTCCTCTAAGTCAGATTTTCTCTGACGATATATGGTAATGGAAATTTGACTATATGTAATTCTTTGCTGATCAATGCTAAAAGTTCCTAGTTCTGCAGGAGCTTTGAGAACTAACGTTTATCCTTGTTTCCACCCTCTAATGATACTGCTAACTAAATAGAATTCTATCTGGGGCTGTTCTTTCAAAGAGAAACACAGGCAGCCTAAAATCTTGCCAAGGTATCTTACCCTTCCCACCTTCCCAATGATTTCCCCCACCCAAGTTGGGCTATGTTCCCTGATTTAGGGGATGTTGCTTCCAAACAAGCCACTTCAGAGTAAGAAGCTTGCTCCTGGGGAGAGGCTTAGCCACCACAGATTTACCCAACAAACTGGTGGTGGAGAAGTGCTGTCCAGCTGTAGGTGAATTGTGTTTGTAAAGCAATGGGAGTTCTCCAGTGGGTGGTTACTAAACAAACAGTGTTATAAAGAATATCAAAGCTCCAGGAGGGACCTTTCTGTTCCTATCAACATTCCACTGAAAACAGAATATAGGGGTTAGGGTTTTTATCCATCCAAAATCTCTCTTGAAGCTGGAGGTTCCCAGCATGGTGTAAAGGCCAGCTAGACCAGCTGGTTTGTTTGTGTGTAGCTGGCCAAGCCTTTTATCAGCTGAGACCATAGGAAGGCTCAAGGGGCCCTGAGGGGCCTCAGTAAGCCTTTGTTTTTGCACGCAGTCAGCCTCCTTTTCATGCCTCTCATTTGCCTATTGGCAACAAAGGGAAACAGGTTCAGCTTGGGTTGTTTCCTTCTCATCTTTCTCACCTCCTGACCCTCTTCCCTGGGCCCCATCATGGCTTTTACACAACGCCAAGAGTTCACAGAGTCGTTTTGGTTGCACCTTGTGAATTAAGCTCTTCTTTCCTGTTTTGGCAGAGTTTGTTTTTCTCCTGTCTGAACAATGGTGTCTGGAGAAATCTGTGAGCTACCAGGCTGTAGAAATCCTAGAAAGGTAAAGCCCTGAGCATAAGGCCTTTGTGAGGGGTACCTCTCAGAATGCCTAATGTACCCAGACCTTTAAAAAAAAATACTAGTTGCCCCTTACCATGAGACCTGGTTTGCACCCTCTTTTTCTTGTAAATGTAAAATTTTTTAGCCAGCGATTGATATTAGAGAGGATAAGATGTAACATGGTTTGAAGCACAAACTCCATTTAGTCTGAGTGTGGATTGTTTCCTTTCCCCTTTCCCTTCTTTATAGGTTTATGGTTAAGCAGGCAGAGAACATCTGCAGGCAAGCCACAATCCAGCTGAGAGAGAAGACAGGGCCTCAGAATTGGAGGGCTCTGAAAGAGCAGCTTTTCAACAAGTTTATCCTGCGTCTTGTGTCATGTGTTCAGCTGGCAAGCAAACTTTCCTTCCACTACAAAGTAAGGAGCTGGGGTTGCGCACGGGCACCTGAGTGTTAGAGAGAAACCAGTTCATCCAAAGGTGGCTTTGAGAAACCCACTCCTAGGCTAGGTGATACTACTTATGCAGAAATTCCAGAGTGTAATTATGCTTCCTAAGCATACCTCCTAAACACACACACACGAGTCACACAGAAGCAGTTACTAAATAGTCTGAAGTTCTGTTCCCAAAGTATAATTGCTGGACGGATGCCATCATTCATACAGGTCACCTTTCCTCCCCTTGGACCCAAGGACAGTTAAGGTGCCTGAATTGCCAACATACCTATTAGTATTAAAGGCAACCTATTACATTTATAAAGGATAAAATGTTTCCACATCACTGTGCAATGTCTGTATAGTATCATTTATTCAACAAGTATTTATTGTCTTCTATGGCCAGATGCTGCACTAGGTGCCATGGCTACAAGAGTAAAAATATTGTCTGTGCTCTCAAGGAATTTATTACCTAATGGGAGAAGACACACAGGCTAATAATGTGAGCAAGTGTTCTGATTAGTGTAAATACAGAGGGCTCTGAATATACCTAATCAGCCTTGGAGAGTCGAGGAAGTGTATTTAGAGAAAATGACTTTTTGGGGGAACAAACAACAGAACATTTATTCATTATCTTCCACCTGTTGTTAACGTCTGTCTCCACTCCCATCTAGAGATAAGCTTCTCTCAGTTCTGCCTTTCTTTGAGATTAATCAAACATTTTTAATAACTCTTTTCTTCTATTAACTTACAGTAATGCATTATTCTTTTAATTGTTATCCAAGAATGTTTCACTGCCTGTACCCTCTAGTATAAGTTGAATACAAATGGTGAGGCAGACATCTTTGCTTTTTCACAATCTTAGGGAGAAAGCGTTCAATATTTCACCATTGCAAGTGATGTTAGCTGTAGGATTTTTGGTAATGCACTTTATTTTATTTTTTTAATTTTGGTTGTGCCGGGTCTTAGTTAGTTGTGGCAGGCGGGCTCCTTAGTTGCGGCTCACCAGCTCCTTAGTTGTGGCATATGAACTCTTAGTTGCCACATGCACGTGGGACCTAGTTCCCTACCAGGGATCCAACCTGCGTCCCCTGCATTGGAAAGCAGATTCTCAACCACTGCGCCACCAGAGAAGTCCCTGGTACGTGTACTTTAACCAATAGAGAAAATGACTTCTTGAAGGGGAGGGTGGGGGAGATGGGTGGATCCTAAGGAAAGAGGGAGAAGAGGTAAGGAGAGCAGTGGGGGCGCTGGGGGTGAGGAGGGAGATCCAGATACAGGAAAGAGCATGTGTAGAGGCTTGGACAGCATGTGGGTTTGGGGAGTGCAAGTAATTCTATATGACAAGTGTAGAGTGTAAGGGGGAATTACCAAGAGAGAAGATGAGATAAAGGCATGGGCTGGATTGTGAAGGGCTTTGTTTACTATGCCAAGATGTATGACCTCTATTCTGACACCCTGCTCTCCCTTTCACTCTATTTTGGTTTTCTTTGCTCAGATAATCAGCAACGTTACAGTCCTGAGTTTCCTCCAGGCTCTAGGGTATCTACACACTAAAGAAGAACTGCTGGAGTCAGAGCTTGATGTTTTGAAGTCCCTGAACTTCCAAATCAATCTGCCTACTCCCCTGGCATATGTGGAGATGCTCTTGGAGGTTTTAGGTACTTTATTAAGTGTGTCGGGCATGTGGGTTGGAGTCCTCCATAGAAGGCAGTAAGAATGTGCCTAGGGGTTTGAGGGCAGTGGGCAGAACCTGCCAATAAGGAACAGCAGGAAGCGCGCATTGACTGAGGAAAGTAGTTTCCTCTAGTACTTGTCAGGGAAACAAACACCAGTCTCGGCACCTGGCTTCTATTTGGCCTCATTAAGCACTCTTATTGTAGCATCAAGGAGTTGACTTTGTAGAGAGGCATGAGATAAGAGGCGAACAAACAAATACGCTCCAGTTGTATATATACCGTAGCTGGAGATTTTTCTACCTCTCCCTTTGTCCTTTACATTTTTTTTTATTTTTTGCGGTATGCGGGCCTCTCACTGTTGTGGCCTCTCCCGCTGCGGAGCACAGGCTCCAGACACCCAGGCTCAGCTGCCATGGCTCACGGGCCCAGCCGCTCCGCGGCATGTGGGATCTTCCCAGACCGGGGCACGAACCCGTGTCTCCTGCATCGGCAGGCGGACTCTCAACCACTGCGCCACCAGGGAAGTCCCCTTTGTCCTTTAAAACGGACCTCCAGCTACAGAGGTTTCTTACAGTAGAACATAGCAACCAGGAAGCACATCAACAGCTTTGTGTCACATGACAACTGTGATTATGATCAGAGAAGAGGTACATAATGCTCTTTACCATGTGCATACTCCATCTAGGATACAATGGCTGTTTGGTGCCAGCCACACAGCTGTATGCAACCTGCCTGACCCTACTTGACCTAGTCTATCTTCTCCATGAACCTGTATATGAGAGCCTGCTGAGGGCTTCAATCGAGAACTGCACACCCAGTCAGCTGCAAGGGTAAGGCAACTCCTTTATCGTAGGCTCCTTCCAGAAACAGGGAGTCAGTAACATACCACAAGAACTTGGGAAATGGAATTTACCTAGCAAGGCACCCAGTCCACAGATAACCTGCATGGGTTATCTTGTTCTAATTAACATCCAATACGTTGTTTGGTTGGATGACGGAGCCCAGTCAGCAAAACCCTAAATGTTACTTTTAACATTTAAATGACTTCTAGTAATTAACATACTTTCATTCCTAGCTCTTCTTTTATAGCTGCTTATAATTTGAGATTACTGAACTGCTTTTATAGCCACTTAGGAAAAAAAGCTAGTCACAGGGTTGCAACTTGGACAAAAGTGTTTGATTACTGTAAAGTCAGACTGGTAAAAAGCCTCAGTTACATTTGTTAGGGAGACAGATGGAACAACTAAAGGTCCATAAACCATTCAGACAGGAGGCTCATGTTTTAATCTGTTGAGCTGGGGGAAGTTGGAAGAGGGAATCAATTAGCTATTATTTGACCATTTCTTTCCATCTATAAAAATTCCATGATCAACATAAACAACTCATAGTTGAAGTCCCGTAACCCTAGGATTTGGAAGATCAAGTGTCATTCCAGCTCCAAAATTAATATGGTTTTAATCACTTAGGGAAAAGTTTATTTCCGTGAAGGAAGACTTCATGCTGTTGGCAGTAGGAATCATTGCAGCAAGTGCTTTCATCCAAAACCATGAGTGTTGGAGCCAGGTATGCACCACTGAGCAGGACCAGCATGGTCAGAATTCATTTAATAGAAAGCATTCTCCCCTCAGTTAAAGGAAAACAGAAGACAAGCTATAAAAGGTTAAGTGCCAAGACCCAGGATTAGGATGAATGAGCAGGATTTGGGAGGGAAAAAACTATGGTGGGACTGAAAAATGTTCTCCAGTTTTCCTCTTATGAACTTGGAAATGGAGGCCCAAGTTCAGCTTGTTCATATCCCATTATGATGATAATCTGCTACTATGTTAAAGTCCAATAAGTGTATCCTCCCAAACAGAAAAAATGTCAAGACCCAAATATCCCTCTCATATTTCACAAAACTTATCTCCAGCAGAGGGAAATGTCTACCAGAAACTTTCCATGCTAACACTATCAGAGCAAAGGTATCCTAGTGTAATTTGGCCATTGGCAAACGCTGGGATCTGGATTTAATCTTCTCTGTAAGCTCAGAGTAATGAAAAAATTTACATTTGGCTTGAGAAAACAGCCCCAGCAATGTGTCTGTGCACTAACACATGTTTATTTAGTAATAAGAAATCTGTCTGTGTTTCTGAAGGTTGTGGGGCATTTGCAAAGCATCACTGGCATTGCCTTGGAGAGCATTGCCGAACTCTCTTATGCAATCCTGACTCACAGCGTGGGCGCCAGCACTCCAGGTCAACAGCGGCCTGTTCCTCCCCACCTGGTGGCCGGAGCACTGAGGGCTGCGACTTCTCCAACACATAAGGCAGGCGGAATCCGCCCAAAATAAACAGCCTTCTGTCACTGCACTCATCTCTCCCTTTTCTTACTTTCATACTCAGTGTACAGAAGTTCCAAGTATCTTCTGAGCTGTGTTTTATATTCCAACTTGATGCTTATTTTTCTGCATCAGAGAAAGAGTTAAGGTGAATAAGCATGTCCTTTTCGTCGTACCAGACTGAAAATGTCCAAGAGCTGGGACAAGATATTAGAATATCAGTGAAATTAGTTTATTTTTGTTTAACAAGGTATTTATGGCTTTCCTCTTAATTGTTCATTTTATTAAGGGAGAACATCAGACATGGAGATTAGTATTAACCAGGGGCTCAAAAACTGAGACCATCTGGGTGATCTTGACTGAGCATGAAGGAGGTAGCCTTTATTTCCCCTTAAAGTTAAACATCTCTGTTCTGTTACTGAGAGCTACACAAATAGGGCATTCTCTACAGCTGTCTACTTTTCATTAGAGTCTTTTTAAAAAACTAACACCCATCTCTAAACATGTTTCAGCAGACTTTCCACATACCTGCGCTTGAACTCGATTCTCCCAGAATACAAAGTACTCTATTCTAGTTAAAGAAAAACCCAACAGTGCACCTCTGGGCAGTTATCAGACTGCAGTAAATCTTTTATTACAAATAATTAAATCTCTCCATAAGGTCTCAAACAGCATCAAACACAATTTCGTATCTCTACACAGAGCAGAGCAGGCATTCAGTACTAGAACCAAGTGAGAAGTGTTAAATTTCAAGCTTCTGATCACATCACATGGTGACCAAAGCTTACATGTCATTTTCTCACGTTATCCAACTGTGCATCTCACACATCTTGTAGTCTCAGTGGAGACAAACGTTTCTATTTCATATTCTAAGTGCAGGAAGTTGAGAGAGATAAAATCCAGTGAAAACACATCAATCTCAATTCAACTCAGTTAAAAAAAAAAAGCAAACTTAAATTAGTTGTTTTGCGGGGACAAAGGGAAAGGAAGGCATGGGGTTAAGAGTCAAAACTGTGACAAAGGCCAGTTGCTATACATGGCATGTTGTAGCTCTGGAAAGTATCTGTTATATTTTAAAATAAAGTGGCTTTTGTGGATTTTTTTTTTCTTTTTTGGTATTGTAAACGTGCTGTTTAATAGTACCCGAATTTAATTTAACACTGTTTTTTGCAAACAAAACAAAATTTAAAGCCTTTAAGGCAAACAAACCCCTAAGGAAAAAAGCAAGTCATTTGTTATAAAACTGTGAGGATACCCAAGCAAGACCCCACTTAAGATTCGTCAGCATGAACTTGAGAGCTTTTGTCCACTGTTCCTCAGAGTTAAACTGGGTTTTGATGGAATAGGAGCCACCGCTGCCTCCTGTGTCTTCAATCTTGCCTTTCTCCACATCCATCCTGCAAATGAACACAGCAGAACTCATTAGTAACTGAGATCCGAGTTAAGTCAGTTCAGGCAAATGGGCAGGGACTTGATCATGGGACCATTCACGTCATTTTATCTACTAAAGAACTCTTGGCAAGGAATGGTAGTGTATTTTGGATTTGCTTGAAAGCCCAATATCAGGAAGGCTGTCACAAGAGCCTCATTGTCATTGCGGAGTACAGGGACAAGACACACACCCAAACAGATGAGAAGCCTGGAGCAGAGGGTAAGTGACGGTTACAGTACTCCTCACTGTTTTCCTAGGCATTCCTCACTTATGGGGAGAGAAGGGAGGCAGAAGAAAAGAAATGCTTTGTTTTGGGGTGATGGAAGCAGCTCAGCCTTACTGTGTTAACTAAGGTGTCCATCCATCTCTGGGCTCCTACAAAATTTGATCAAAGGAAGCATTCCTGTATATTTCCAAGGGTGTAAGGGAAAAAACCTCCCTGAAATTGGAGAGCAGGCTTGAGCTCTGCAGCAAGAAAATCCCCCACACCATCTAAGTCAACATTCTTTTTCTCCAGGGACCAGGTGGTTACATTCTGTCCTGTTTGCAGTGTTGGATCAGTCTCTGCCTATCAGTGTCAATGTGATCTTACTCCATTTTCTGTTTTCCCACTATATGTACTAGTTTTGCCTCCACTCTTACTGTCCCTTCAGTTCTGCTCACTCTGGTCCTACTCTAGGTTCATTCAGCACCGGGCGATACTGACCTGTAAGGAAGACAAAAACGTGACTCGCCTTTCTCAACCTCTTCTTTGAACTGCTGCACACAGTCCAGGAAAGCCACCATTGCATGGTCAAACTTGTTGTCCCAGAAAAACCGCAGCCCCCCAGAACAGTACAATGGCAGCTCCTGCCCGAGAAAAAAGAACTGGCTATAGCTGTGGCCCTAACACAGGTTACCGGAGATTGTTCCCAATCCTATCAATCTCTCAAGTCATGTTATGTCTGTATTCCACTGGCAACAGTAACCTTGGGCAAATAACAATGCACCTAAAACTTTCACCATCAGTGGAAATGTATTAAACATCTACTGCACAGTGATGCCTTCCCCATCCTGGTGCACATATTCTCCTCTGATCTGCCCATATCCCTTCTCAACAAACTGTAAAAATTTAATTTTCTTTACAGACCCCAAAGAGCTAAACCTGAACTAGACAGGACACTGAACCAGACATTGGCTCAAAATGAGATATCTCAGTCTAAGAAAGAAGCTAAATAATGCCATTATCAAAACTAAACCATTTCATTAGAAGGTACAAGGATTCTGTATTCCAATGAAAATGGACCTTCCTGGGTACCTTAGATTTGTCTGTCAGAGACTCCAGATACGAATGGTTTCCATAGGGAACAAGTCGATACCTAAAATGGAGATGCAGACAGAGATGGAAATAGGACTCCTCCTAAAGTGATTACTGGGATGTTATAACCCAGTGATTTTCAGTCTTCAGCTACCCAAGAACCTCTATTATTATTTCCACTCCTCTCTCACCTCCCCACAGGCTCCATGTTTAAAAGGTTTTGTTTCCCAAACAAACTACATTTATTAGATAATTATCTGGGGGCCTTTTATGGATGCATGTATGTCCTGGTTTAGATTTAGAAACAAAAACTGAAAAACAGCTTTAGGAACAGTAAGGTTATGGAGACAGGAAGTTGGGGACCACTGCTGCGGCCGTGCAGTTCAAGGACTGCTCAATCATTGGAAAGGGCCTGTGGTGAGGGGAAAACCAGAAGCAGACAGTCTCCATGAACAGAATACTCCCAGTTCGTTGGGAGCAAGGGCTCTTGCCATAGTGGACAAGAGTACCAGGTAGGAGATACAGATTATATCACAGACACACCACACTCAAGAAAGGACTACATTTCTTACCTCTGAAATTTCAGACCCATCTTATTGGCCAGGGCATGGAGCAGCAACACTGTCTGGCCCCAAGCAGCGTTAATCTCATTCCATTCCACGGGAACACTGGGCAGGCGACCCAGTCTGAAGTTATTGATTGTGCCAAACTGTCCACTGTGCCTACAGAAGAAGGGCAGGGAAAAATACAGACAGAATTTAAAACTCAGCAAATTCTGAAATTTCCTGCTCTCACCTAAAACCTGGCATAATTCTCTCTCCTTATCTCCAGATTCATATATCCGAGCCCTACCTGGTACTTTAAATACATGTCTAAAACGTGAGTCATCATCTTTCTCCCTGCTGCTCAGATGCCAAAGTAGAAACCTGGGCGTCATCCTTGAATGCTCTCTCTCTCAGCTCCCTTCCCCCCAACACCACCAAGCTCTGTTGATTCTACCTCCTAAACCTCTTAAATCTGTCCTCTTCTCTTGAGACTCAATGCTACGACTCTACCCTCTCCTGTTGATTCCTACTGGCAGGTTTCCTTACCAACAATCTTGCCCTCTTACCCCAAGTCATTTCTCACACTACAGGTAAAGCCATCATGTACAAATGCAACTGTACTTATGTCACTTTCCTGACTAAAATGCTTCAGTGGCTCCCACTGCCTTTTGGACAAAGTCCATATCCTTAATGAGGCCTACAAGATCCCTTAGGAATTGGTAACGCTCCAGTTTCATATCCTGTCATTCTCTGCTTCACCCTCAATCTCCAGTCACAGTAAGCTCCGTTCAGTTCAGTCGGAGATTACCACTCCCACTTTCCTCTGTTTCTTTGCACATGATGTTCTCTCTGCCAGGAACAACCCCCCTCCTCTGCAGACTTATACTCCATATCTCAGCTTAAACATCAACTTCCTCTGGGGGAATCGTTCCATGCAGCCTCCTCAAATTGGGTAAAGTGCCCTTATGTGTTCTCACAGCACCCAGGGTTCACCATGACCATGTTGTATTACAAGTGCCTGTTACCGAGCCATCTCGCCCAAGCAAAATGTATATTTCTTGCTGTTGCCTTCCTAGTGCTTAGCACAGTGTCACCACACAGTAGATGCTCAAAAGATACCATTTGAAATGGATAAAATATCAAATCAATGAATAAACAAATGACCCCGGGGGGCAAGAAATCAGCACCAGACAGATGACCAGATTTTCACGTAGCTGGAGAGCTCCAATCTTTCCCTTTCCTTGGAAGAATGGAAGTCACCAAGCTCTAGAATTCCAATCCCCTGATTGTGCCTATCCCATCACAAGGAATGAAAGAAACCTAGATGGAGTGAAAATGACACAGACCCCCATTCCGTGGGAGGTGGGCACCCTGGCATAGCGGCCAGCAGCTAACGTCCAGGTTGTGGTGCTTCCCAGACGCTCCTCACCCTCCAACCCTCATTACCAAATGTGGAAGGTTGCGTTAAAGACGTTGGTTTTCTTCAGCTTGTCCAGCTGCATCTGGGCATAACGCATCTGGTTTTCTACACTCTTCAGCTCATCATCCAGTTCTAGCTGTTGTCGTTTAAATTCACTATATTCTCTTTGATACCTGTGGACAGCCAAGGTGACCATTAAAGGCTGTTTGGGGGCTAAAATTTCTCTCCCACCACCCCACTTAATGACTTCTTCTAGTGATTATGGTCACTTCTAGTTACAGCATCTTTTACATTTGGCAAATATCCCACTCAAAGGAACATACTTGCCCTAGCTGTTTTGCCTGGGAGGGACAGAAATGTCTCAAATTCCAGCTGCCCATATGGAAAATAGGGAGGAAAACAGGACTCTCCCAAACCAGGACCAGACACCTCTTGGATTTCTGATCTTTTCCAGAAACAAGGTGAGTTAGTCAGTGGTGGTTTCTTCCCTGAATTGGCCATAATTGAGCATCTATCACTTCACCTCTACATCCTTATTTACTTTTAAATGGTTAGTATACATCATTTCTAATGGAACTTGTTACACTATCCCATGAAAAAATTAACTTTGTTCAATGTCTTTCACTTCCCCATCCTTAGTTACTGTGGACACTGTCTCCTCCAACAGACAGAGGATTCTCTCAGGTCAAGAGCACCAATGAAATTTTTGAGCTGGAAAAGAATGAACGTAGGCCAACAGGCTCATCTTTCCAGAGGAGGATGTCGGGTTCAGTGGCTGACTCACCCAAATGAGCCCAGGTCCCTACAGGACAGAGCTGTGACTAGAGGCCTGGTTCTCGGCTCTCTATTTAACCAACGCTTTTGCCACTTAATCATGCTGACCCTTCATACGTAATCCTCCCCACCAACCTCTAGAAACAGCGCCTGGAAACAATATGCAGGATCCAGAGCAGACATGCTGCTGAATGACAGCTCACTGCTGTTTACACACTAATCAGACACATTCAGCTGGAAGCCATTTCCACTCCTGGAGCCTTGAGGGCAGGAAGATAGAAGAACAGGGTGATCACTCACTGAGCTTCCTCCTGATCCAACCTCTCAGCCTCAGCCTGGACCTTCTCGAGATTTTCTGCCACTATCTGACGGTTCTTTTCCACATCTTCCAGCTCTTGGATCAGCCTCTCCTCCTCTAATGCCAGCTCCTTTAGCTCCATCTGGAGCTGCTCGCTGTCATCTTCATTCATTTGCTCTAAGATTTCCAAGCAGCGTCTGCCAAGGACACAGGCAGGGAATGCTTACCAGAGGGAACCTGTTATTCCTTTTATCTGAGTGGAGCACAGCCCTTGGGTAAGGGCCACGCAGCCCCAGAGCAGTGAGAGCTCTAAGATTCAGAGCTCCATTCCTGGGCCCAGGCTCTGGAGGTACTCACTTGTAGTTCTGACACTCATTTTCAGTGACGTTGAGCTGAGTGTCCAGCTGGTCTAAAAGAGTATCTGTGCATTCCTCACACAGTGGGTGATCCACATCTGTCTGGCCTGACATGATGTCGAAAAGGTCCCCAGTGACCTGGAAGTGTGGGAGAGTCAGGGTAGGGCCTACCCCATGCTACCTGCCCAGACACCCCCTCTACCAGCCAGGCCCACTGCCTGACACCAGAATGAGGCAGACTTGCCTTCAGTCTTCGGCTGAGGTTCTCCATGGTGCCGCCGTCGGATGCCTCCCCGATCAGAGTGAAGCTGTTGGCACTTTCTGTAGACATCATCCTGCAGACAGCCCCCCGCCCACGGGCCACATGAGGGAGCAGAGAGGCCTCCTCCACCTACTGCAGTGCCAGTGGCAGAGACTCTCAAGCACCGGCTGAGGGGCCTCAAGGCACATACCCACTCCTAGCCCGACTGACCTCCCAAGGGTACCTCTCTCCCAAGGGAAGGCCATGCTGGTCTTCCACAGGGACACTCAGCACGAAGGTTGGCCTGGATGGACTAAGGGGGGAGATGGGGCATCAGAAAGTGATATGTGTGTGTCTACAGTAGAAAAGGAAGGAGAATCAGGAAAGACCATTTCTTAATATTACACCACTTGCCAGCCACCTTCACATGCATCAATAACTAAGAACCTGAACATCTAACAACATTTGCTATCTTAAAACTTTTCAAGGGCCCATCTCTTTTATTAGTCAATCACGCTCTCAACTTTTCTCAGTTCTTCATCATGAGAGATATTGTCCCTTCCCACTGTGTGAATGGCTACAGGAAAAACTCAATCAATACTGGAGAGTGATGGGCCAGGTATAAGGGAATATGTCTTTTCTGGAAGAGCCAAAAGGCTACATGATGATCCATCTTCATCACCTGGCTCCAGGTCTCAATTCTGGGTTTAATTAAAATTCTACTGGCCTTTGGCAAGGAACAGGGGGCTGAGGAGTAGTAGGCACCTGGCTGGGGGGATGAATCTGCGAGAGACACCATCCTGGCGAGTTTCAATAAATGGCTCCTGGGGAGGAAATAAGAGAGCATTAGAATCCTGGCAGCTTAGGGCTTCCCTGGTGGCGCAGCAGTTGAGAGTCCGCCTGCCGATGCAGGGGACACGGGTTCATGCCCCGGTCCGGGAAGATCCCACATGCCGCAGAGCAGCTGGGCCCGTGAGCCATGGCTGCTGAGCCTGCATGTCCGGAGCCTGTTGCTCCGCAACGGGAGAGGCCACAACAGTGAGAGGCCCACATACCCCCAAAAAAAAAAAAAAAAAAAAAAAGAATCCTGGCAGCTTAGAGGTGGAGTCTATTTCCCCAGAACTATTTGGCTTTACCCTTGATTGATAACCACAAGACTTGAGAAACCACAGAGACTTAAGAAATGGGTGTTATACAGCCAATCCTTGGATATTTGCACTAAGAAAGGACCCTTGGTACAGACAAACCCCAAGTCCCATTTGATTTTTTGTGGGGAACAGCATTTCCTAACTATGTTATACTCTATTATATTTGCATTTACCAGTCAAGGTAGGGGAGAGAATGCCCTAATCATGGCACAAGGAAAAAGCCAGAGCAAACTGCAATGAAGTTTACCATGGCATAGAACAAAGTAGATACTTTATGTTTTCCATACTTTGATATAATTTATATGTGATCAAAATCTTATGACATTGATCTCTGACAATGACAATTATCACTCATGTTATCACGTTTAAAAAAATTACACATTCTCTAACACTGACAACCCTTTCTAGCTAGTGTAATCACACAATTCAATGTCCAAACCAAGATACTTTTGAGACTAGACAGGAGTGGATATTAATAATTAGCTAAGACAACACCAGGTGAACCAGGAA